AATTGATACTAAGTAGTTTAATTAGACAAGAGGAAACAAAGAAATAAGCACGACTTAGTACTTTTTTATTTCAGTTTCACGGATCAAGTGCATCGGCTCTATTACTAGAAAAATTAATATTAATAATTTTACTATTATTAATCTACTAAAATCATGTAAATTATAATCTATGAAAAAGCTAGTATTTTCTAAGTATGAAAAATTACRTTAATGAACCCATGCAATGTGTTTACATCTGTAAAATTTCAATTAAATTTGGTCACCTCGGGTTTGTTGGCGATAATGATGAAACCTCTCCAGATGCTGTGTTATTTGTCTCGGCAAAACAAACCAACGCAGAGCCAGGTTTCCTCCGCGATGACAAACTATGACAAACTGACCTCCTACTACACCTCGTCACAAGAAGCCTGACCTTATTTATATCAAAAATTTTATCAATTAAAATCAATTAACTCTAGAGAGAATTTCTATTTAAAACGTAAGTGAAACTAGGGCGAAAAATAAGTAAGTAAGACCTAGAATTTTCGACAGATCAATTGTACTTTTCGCTCCTTTATTCTCAGCTATGTAATTGGCAGTTTTCTCAAGATTTATCGCAGCCAACTCTTCTTTCATTTTTTTTTTTTTTTGTATTTTGACTTCGGAAGATACTGAGTTTTAGGAACTCTACCTACCTACCCCTCCCTCTGATGAAATATTGTGTCAGAAGAAAGAGCTTCAGTATTATTCGAAGGCAAATCCAAACCTTATTAAAAGCAGCATTTCTGATTTTTTTCTCAATGTTTTTCTTTCAAAAATAACAATTAAGTACTCTGAAATTAAAAGATATTTCAGGAAAAGACCACGTTCTGTCGTAATAACAGCAACATTCAAAGCACACACTTCAATTTTTTTCCCTCTTTGATTAAACCCTACGCGCATTCTTGATATCAGAGACATCTGTTGTTTCTTAAAACGTTTTGATCAATGAGAATAACAAGAGAAAATCAAAATAGCTTTAGATTTTTTTAAACCTAATTTAATTTTTAATAACGACATCTTTTTCAAATCGATTGTGTACAAAACACCCGGTCTACATCAAAGTAAAAGTTCTTTGACGAACAACTCGGAGTTTCAATTTTGTTACAACTTTTTTTATAAGTTTAAATAAGGGAAAGCTATTTAAATAATGACTATATTTAGTCAGAACATCTAATCCGAAAAAGCTGCTACAATATCCACAACTGGACAGCTAACAGACATATCTTGTCCTATTTATTCAAAAAACGTCTTCTTATTGATAAAATCTAAAATGATAGCATTCATTCTAAAGTTAGTGCGGAAGTGACTATTCCGAGCAATATTTATAACACGTAGTTGGATAATTTAAAAAAGATTATGAATTTTGGCTCTACCRAAACATCTGCTRTTTTAGTTCTAAAAATAATTTCCAGAACCTGGTAAACAAGACTTCTATTTTTATGAGTTCTTTGACTTTTTTATAGCTTTGGTGTTAGGCCTCTACAAACTATGTCGGATGTAGACAACTTTTTTTGACGGTTCAATAGAGCTCGATCAGTATCAGTTTAATGCCTTTTCGCCGAGCTATATTTAATGTGGTTAGTTGCGTCAGAATTGCGTAAACTTATAACCGTTTGACGTAAAGCGCTAATCGATGGAAAAATGCTGAWATTACAAGACAAAATGATTTACTGTTTAAGTAACGGGAAACGTTTTTAAATCCTGATATAATTGCGAGGGGACCTGGGAGAATACTAGACAGTTCTTGTGCACATTCGTATCATATGGATTTTGCCGGCGTATTTTGATTGTTCCATTTTCAGATTCATCACCTAGAATTTAAAGGGACATGGTCCACCAGCATCCCTTTCGAGCTTTTGTTTATGTTTGAAAATAGAAATACATCRTAATATAAGCAAAAACTTACTYTTTATTATTCCTTTATCCTATATGAATGGAGATGCTTTAAGATTCGACCGTTAAACCGATGGATGGAAACGGATTGCAAATGGATATTCGAAGTYACCTCATTTTCCACATATGAAAAATCTAAAACACGACCGCATTGCATGCTAGTGGACYATGTCCCTTTAACTGATTTATACGTCCACATTTGAAGTTCGGCAATGTGTCTTAACAGGAAGCCCAAGACGATGCCCTCTAAAGACTATTTTTTCCCGTTTTCACTAAAAAGTACTCTAGGTATATATGGAAGAGTTCACAGATTTTTCTCAGATAGACAGCGAGGCGTTACGCAATGAAACAAGAGTTTTCACAATGTTTTGTAATATTTTGCCATTTTTGGGCTTCCTGTGTTCATTTAGTTGTAAACGGACTACACGGTGTATAGGGCGTCTAGTTATATTAAGCTACTGGGCTAAACAATGAAGTAGTTGTGTAAAAATATAATTTTAACACCGTAAAAAAGTAGGTGAAATAACTTACTTACTTTTCGAACGTTAATTCTTTGTTAATCTCAAGTTACACCGTTACTCTGGCGAAGGATTCACGTCCGAAACGTCAGTAAGTTAATTCACCTACTTCTTCACGGTGTTAAATTTAACTTTTTACACAACTTTTTCTTTAGAAACACCGACGCAGCTCACACAAGTTTACCACTGGCTCCAACCATTTGAACAATGAAGTCACTTCACCCTCCTTTTCACTCGTCACTTTCTAAGGTCCTCCTTTTTTCCTAAGAAAAACAGCTCCTCGAAATTCAGAAAAACAAAGGGCAGCTCGCGCTCTCTCGGACTAGAAAGTGGACAAAAAATTCTCAGAAATCATCAAGAACTTTATGTACTTACCATAACCTTACCCTAAAATCAATTTTTAAGTCCAATGTAGCTTGGAGGTATAAGAATGCGTTAGAGCCTTCCTCGATTATTGCTCAAAACTTACAAAAAATTGACAATTGTATTTCGTAAAAATGAAGACATCCAGGCGGGAGTCGCATTCAKACAAAGCAAACACCAAAGATATTCATTTGTCACTAAAATCGAGCCGATCTAAAAGGGAGCTCTGATTCTTTATCGAGTGCAGGATATGCTTATCGCTGTTTCATTAAGAAACAAAGAAATTGAAACAAGTTTTATCCGTGTATATCACCAAATACAGCAATTTCTTCGTGTTTGCAAATCAATAATAAGAGCACCGAAAATCCCGAAAAAAATTATCCATTTGAAACATAGGGGAGTATTTAGAGGGATTACCCTCAATGACGAATCCTGTATACATCCTCGAAAYATGAAATATTAGGTTACAATAGGCCGTTTGCATTATGACTTAACTTTACTACAACTACCAGAGAGCCTTGCGCATTTTCATTGTTATTCAGATTTTTAATCCCCTTGGWGATYAATAAAACAATTGGCACTAATTGCATTACAAAAGAAAGTTGGCAAAGCATTCTGGTAGTTGTAGTAAATGACGCCATAATGCATATCGCCTATTCATTGCAAGTGCCATGGTCGATCAGCTTTTGTTAAAATAATGTTTAAATTATAATACATAGTAATATAAGCAAAACCTTACTCTTTATTATCCTTTGAAAAAAAATCCCTACGACAGTTGAAGCTATGTCGTAAGGATGACTTACGCAGGTTGCATGCGATGATTCTAGGCAAAAGTTGTGCAGTCTAAATCAGCCTTCTAGATTATAATCATAGTGTAAGAAATAAGTAGGAGTTCAGTTTACTGATGCAGACCTATAAAGATGTAAACCTATACTGTTGCAAACATTGTCAGTCTTTTAAGTTATTTGAATTTGAGGCATGATTCCAGTGATTGAACTCAGTATGTGACGCGTACTAAGACCTAAATTTGTTTGAATACGTTCGTGGCGAACTGCCTGTAGATGTTTCCTGGCGGCGAGAAATGAGYGACTATAAATGAGTATGTCAAGCCACCTTTTGTAACTGCTGCAATTCCAACACCCACTTTAGTAGAAGACTTCCAGATAAGCTGGGAATAAAAAAACGGATGGAATGTCAAAAAGAGAATTAAAGCCATTGATAGTCTTCTTCACTGTTCTCTGCGSCATTTTGAAATGTAACCGCGCTTTTGCATTGACAAGAACGATCTGTGAACGATCGTGCAACGATTAACAATGGTTTCTATCACGGACAGTCACCGCCTTGCTTTGATTTAAAGGCACAGTTGCATTTCAAGATGTCGCAGGGAAACGTGGAGGAGACTATTTACTTGTTTTTGCAAKCATTCTTGGCATGCTTTGCTCTTTGCTTAGAGTCTGCATATGAAAAAAATTTCCGATCTCCGTGTGATTCTATCAACATGACTTGGAAATATGGACAAAGATTTTATTAGTGGATATATGCGGTTGATAGCAATATACTCACAACGGCCATCTTGGAGAAACTTCAACAAAGGATTTATCATTAGTATATATTGTTCATTCGTCCAACATGGCTGCCGGTCTTTTTTCTTTTGAATTCCAACCACAACAGTTGAAAACGATTAATTTCGATTAATTTTGTTATATATTTTTTGTTCATTCATTTTTATAATTTCCATAAGATTTTACCTGTGTAAAGTGCTGGGAACGAAMCCGAAAACCCGGTCGTTTAAACTTGTAATGAGCCTTTTGTCCGTACCTAAAAAATGAAGACAATATCACTTTATATAACAACT